TATATGAATATAAGTTTCTTGGTTTTGACACAGTGAACTATTATGACCTGTAAATTCTTTCTTCATTTTTATTTTGGACAATTTTTATTGTTAAATTCATTTATGCTTGTAAATTTATTTTCAATTTGCAATCTATTGAAAAAATTAAATTAAAAAAAAATCTTTGCCATTACAAGTACTGGTATAATAGGGTAAAGCCAGACTACAAGTGTAGTCCTATACCTCTTGCTAAGAAGGTATTTTCTTGTTAGGACTGATATTATTAAAGACTTTAAATAATAAGCAAAATGCTATGAGCAGAGCCACGTTGGTATACAGCAGTGCCTATTGAACAAGTGTGCATGTCATGGGAGCAGGGACTTTCGATGATGAGGCTTAGAGATGACTTGCTCTGAGGATGAGGATGTGATCAGAACTGGCAGGTCATGGAGCAGGGCCCAGAAGGGTTTCTCTCCTTTTCTGTTTCCTCCTTTCTCTCTCTTTCCTGTCTGTGGTGCTAGGAGCAGCTCTCTCCCGTGCTATGTGCCTCTGCCTTGCTGTCTTCTCTCTTGGAGCCAGCTGACCCTGTGGACTAAAGCACAATGTAGTGTGTTATGAGTCGGTGCCAAAAGAAATGACGAGGAGACCCGATGAATATAGCTAGAGGTCTCACTTAGATTTCTCTCTCGAAGTGAGCTCTGGGCCAGGGAAACTTCTCACATTTATTGAGGGCCACAAACAGCTAAGGAACGTGCATAAGTAATTTGGTGCAAACAAACTGCCACCTATATTGCCTTCCGGAATTCACCAACTGGTTTACGTATCACTGGTTGGTAACTTCCCAGGTAAAGGAACAAAGAACAGACAGGGCGCTGCCTCCAGGAATCTGCTCCTACCTTGTCTCCAGCTTGCTGGGGTAACAAGGAACCAGTTTCCTTAGGCTGTCTTCTTTGGTCCTTGCTCCCTTGGTATATAGTAAACTTCTGAGTCCTGTCACTACACCAAAGCAAAATACATGGCTTAAGTCGTGGCTGTCGGATATTTTCGCCTGGCAATGAGGAAAGTAAGACAGCAGCCTTCAGGGGTGATTTGATCCAATGATTTTCAATACCTTCAGGTCTGTGTGACTTCTTGCCCATAATTCTTTTCATTTGCACTCCTCTTAAATTAGCAAGATACTGCAAGCAGCTCTTGAGGCAGCACACACTTCTGTTAACATCTAGAGGGACAGAAAGCTTCTTCCATGAGCACTAAGCAAAGAAATGGAGTTTCATTTTGATGGGAACAATTTTAGGTCATGTCACATTGTACTTAAATTAGTCATAAGGTCAAGATAACACTGTGTACCAGGGTATTTGCAGTATCAATAATTGTGGTAAAGGACACGACAGCTTCCTGGTGATTGCCTTCAGCTGGTCAGTATCCCAGGAGGGGTCAGTCTGACTCGAGATTCCCCGTGCTGAGAAGCACCTGGACAATGTCGGCTACTAACAGGCAGACCTGAGGGAGGATGTGGGGTAAGTGGGGTGCGGTCGTGTGGGGCACCAAGTCGGGCCAGTGGTAGTGTGCAGAGGGCTGCTTTGGACTTCATGATGGGGTCTTGGGGAAGCTGAGCTGAGAATATGGGCCTATATGAGTGACTGGATAGGAACGCAGGTCTAAAGTAGGATGTGTGTCTGAGTAGCTTTTTGCTCTCTCTCTCTCTCTCTCTCTCTCTCTCTCTCTCTCTCTCTTTCTCTCTCTCTCTCTCTCTCTCTGTATGTGTACTCCTGAGATAGTAATAGAATTTTTATAAATACTCTAATAAAAGGCCCTGGGCACAGGGGCTAAAATAGAGATGATTAAAAACACAATTTCTCCCACACCCACACACTTACATACAGTAATTAGTCTTTTACTAGATTTCTATAATTATGAATGGGGTAGTTCTTCATTGTTATTATAATTGATTTGATTTTTGCTTTGGGATGGAATCTCGTGCTTCAATGATTAACAAAAACTTATTGCATATTTATTTAGTACACGGTCTACAGGGTCTCACTATGTAGATTGGACACCTAGTGAGCTCCTGTTTCAGTGCTGGGATTACAGGCACGCGCCACTATGCCCAATCTCAATAGCTGTCTCAGCACACTCCCCCCCCATGGGGGTGGGGCCGGCAGGGTACCCCAGGATCAAACCTGGTCCCTGCGTCTGCCTAAGCAGGTGCTTTAGTCTGCTTACTATCCAGCTGGCCCTATTTATTTATTTTTGATACAGGGTTTCACTACACAGTTTGGACTGGTGGTAATCCTCCTGTCTCAGCCTCCCCAGTGCTGGGATTACAGGCCTGTGTCACCATGCCTGGTTCTGGGGCTGGAATGGTGTGAGGTACCAGGGATCGAACTCAGGCACTTGCCCTTGCCAAGCAGGTGATTATGCTGCCGCACTATCTCCCCAGACCTCCAAAAAACTCACTGCATTTTAAGTGGAGCCCCACATTTGATTCTAAGGATAGCTGAGAGGAACCGTTACAGCCATACTTCACATATCCCGACTTCTCTGCCAGCACCCAGCGTGGAACAAGATAAGTAACACTGGTTAACCAATTTCTATAGAGAAAAAAAATCTTAATTTTGTCCAAAACAAAGTAAAATGTTAGGTACTCCACTTACAGTGTACAGTCCGTGTTACTTTGTAAAGGCAACTCTGTTAAATGCTGAACCCTTTCTTTAATCAACAGAATTACTGTGACATGTGCTCTTCAGATTTTGCTAGTGTTACTAATTTGTTCTTACAGTGGTTATGGTTTGGTTTTGAGCCCCATGAGGGTCAATTGCTTGAAACAGTATTTTTAGAACTTTTAAAAATCAGGCTAAATTTGTCCCATGACTTCAGGGACCTTGTGTTTGTTTTACTCTCTTGCTGGTGGGACATGAAGTAACAGATCATTTGAGCTCAGCATGACACAGAATGAAAAGGAAGTTTTTGTGTACATTCTGGGACTACAGAAGAAACACCCCTTTAACAGTTTCCTCCAGTGACAGAAAAATACTCGCTAGAACTCCTGAGGTATCTGTGAAGACTTGTAAGACATTTCTTCCTACTTGTTGGTAGGTTTTGTTTTGTCTTTGGTTTTTTTTTTTTCTTTAATTTTATTTATTTGTGTGTGTGTGTGTGTGTGTGTGTGTGTGTGTGTGTGTGTGTCCAGCTCAGCCCACCAGGGGGCGGGGCTGGCTGGCATGTGGTGCTGGGGGATTGAACTGCGGTCCCTGTAGCTTTGCTAAGCTTGTTCTAAGTAGGTGCGTTAGACCACTGAGCCATCTCGCCAGCCCCTTTCTTTCTTTTTTTGGCGGAACTGGGGATTGAACTCAGGCCCTTGCGCTTGCCAGGGAAGCGCTTGTTCCACTGAGCCATCTCCCCTGCCCCTGCTGGTAGGTTTTGAATCATTCTGTTTTTAAAACCTGTTCTTGAAGGATTTGAGGTTATAACAGTTATTATAAGTGTGATTGTTAAAAATACCTTGATGTTTCTAATGAGAAATTAAAATAACAGGTAAAACAAGGCATGAAATGTGGGCTTTTGACCACTTTTCTTAATTTAGCCATAGAGAATACTGTTATTGTTTGTTCTGGTTAGAATTTCTGTGATATTAATTTAATTATCATTTTGCCATTTTTACAGGCAACTGTCTTACCTAGTTGAATGTTTAGAAACATGCCTAGTTTTCCATTTTCTTACACAAGCAGTACACAGTCCATGTATGTATTTATTACCTCAGAACCTTTGTGTTTTTGAGTGTGAGTCTGTTCTTGCAAGTCGGACTGGTATTTTTAAATGTTTTTGTTATGGAAGAAAAAGCAGACTTACTTTGGGAAGGACAGTCCTTGACATATATTGCCTTAAGTACACTTCTAGAGTAAGATGATAAAGTCAGATCACAGAGCTCCCTGTCCCAAAAGCAATGGCATATTGAAAGCGGAATAACTTAAAAATTCAGCAAAAAATAAATTGACCTTGTGCGTTACAACCAGGAACTTCTATCTCCTCATCTTGCCCCTCTGAGACAGCGGGGTGTGTGTATGAGTGGCCAAAATCCTAACAAGTCTCCCAGTATCCCTCAGTTTAGACCAAAGTGATCTGCTGGAGGTGCAGGCTGCCCTGAGCAGGGCCCTGGACAGCTCTCTCTACCCGCAAAGTCTTTCCAGAAACTGCAGCTGGGTCCGCCTTTGGAAAACTGACTCCGTGGAAAGAAAGCAGAAAAGGAACAGCGAGGGAGTAACTAGGCAGAGGAACTATCTTCAGCACTAATTATGGACAGAGCACCGGGGCCTGGAGAGAGGGGCTCGCTCAGGCTGCAGGAGTTAGACCGGTGGGGGACATCAGCATGCCCAAATGCTCGTCTTCTCACTGAAGGCAGGTGTTTAGTTTCTGTTTACTAGGAGAGCGTGGGTCCACTGTCTGCTTGGTCTTTCTTTTTTGAGTGTGTGCAGGATCTCACTTTGCCACTCTGACTTGTAATGACCCTCCTGCTTTTTGCCTCCTTGGTGCTGGGGTTACTGGCATGTGGCACCATGCCCAGACTCCATCGGGGGCACGGCCAGCATGGCATGCAGTGCCAGAGATCGAACCTGGCCCCTCCGCTTGCCTAAGCAAGCGCTTAGTCCCCTGAGCTATCTCAGACCAAGTTCCTTGGTCTTTCTGAACAAAGTTCTCTTCTGGCTTTAGCCTGAACTGGGTAATGAGGCTGACATCCTGTCACAGAGTGGCTTGGATCCTGTGTACCTTGCTGTGAAGCCATCAGTTTTCAGAAGCACACACTGCCCAAGGATATAGCTCAGCAGCATAAGCGCCCACCTGGTAAGCACAAGGTCCTGAGTTCGATCTCCAGTTCCTCTCCCCCCATAGTAGAAGCTCACAGAGGCTGCGCTCAGGCTAGCTGGACTTGCCTCTAGGCAGAAGGTGTCAGGAGGAGAGTGAAGGAGCAAATGTGTGGGTTTTTTTAATGAAAAAATAAAACCAAATTTCATAAGAAAATAGTAAGAGACAGCAGAAAAGTATAAAAACGAAGTATAAAAAGTAAAGCCATATTAATATGCTGAGCTGTAAAAGGCTCAAGTCAACAACTTCTGACATTGCCAGTCTTATGGAAAACCCACTACTATTATGGACTATTGGACTATATTGGAATATTTGCTGAATTCACGCACCTACAATATTTAAATGACAATGGAATGCCCTTCTCTGACAAAACTAACCAGAAAAGGGGGATATAAATGAATGACCATTTTGTATCTGTATACTCAGAATAGTTAGGATAGATGTACAGTTACATCCTCTTAATTCAGTGGATAGAGAGATTTGTTCTAATAGTGTTTGTGGACAGGATATCATGTCTGCATCATGTACAATGAATAACCACTAAGACAACAATAAACAATGTGTTAATTACTGAAACTGTGCTAGTAATCAGTTTTGAAATTGTCTAATTCCTATTTGTTTCTCAATAAAACTATTAAAAAAAGAGAATAGCAATAGTTAGCACACTATAGATTATCATCTTCAAAATATTGAGTACAAGACAAAAACCGAAAAGATTCTTACAAGAAAGAAACATAGTGAGCTGGGGAAATAGCTCAGTAGAATAAGCGCTTGCCTGGAAAGCGCAAGGGCTTGAGTTCAATCCCCAGTTCCGCAAAAAAAAGAAAAAAAAAAAAAAGAGAAACATAATAACACAAAGCTTTTCAAGGAACTAAGATAAACTAGTAATATAAATTAGTATATATTAAATTATTTTTTCAAACACTGAAGTATGTAATTTGGAAAAATATTTGGACTTCTCCCTCTTTCTTATTTATGTCTCTGCTAGTTTGCTCTTTAAATCTATGGTTAAGGAAAACTATAAGCAAGGAGAAGCTAGCAGCAGAACAGAACAGAACAGAACAGAACAGAACAGAACAGAACAGAACAGAACAGAACAGAACAGAACAGAAACTAGCAGCAAAGGCACTAACAGGAGAAGCAAGAGGGAATGCCAAGGACAGGTGAATGGATTCAGGAAGAAAACCAGCTACGAGATGGAAGTAGGGTACCTCAATACTTGCTCCTTTTTTGCTATAAAAATCTTTGTAAGTATACAAAAAAGGGGCCAAAGAGATAGCTTAGCATCATAAGTGCCTGCCTGGCAAGTGCGAGTCCCTGAGTTCAATCCCCAGTACCACACACACAAGAAGGAGGAGAAAGGGCTTAACATTATTAAAAAATATGAAAAAGGGAAAACAAAGACAAGATGATAAAAGTGTCAAAAAAGATAAAAGGAAAATGTCAAAGCCAAGGGGACAGGGTGAGTGTCAATACTACATTCAAGTGACAAATAAAAATAAGACGGAGAGAATAAACTTTGTAGAACCCTTGAGGTGATGACTTGGAAGGTTTGAAATAATCAGGAGTTATAAAAGGAAAAGATAGTGTGTTAAATTGTGGCCACTCAGTCAGTACTATTAGTATGTTATCACATTTCTCTCTACATGTTTCTTAGGTATGTATATGGAATTGTATCTGGTGTGTATGTGTATGTGTGTGCGTGTGCGTGTAAGAAAGAACTACATTGCTACCATTTTAACTCATAGATCTTCAGACATACACCTCTTAAAAAACTTTAGTAGCTACATCATTCTTTTTAGTATTTTTATAAGTGCTTTAAACATATTTCAACTTTCTACGTGTTTTCTTTAGAGGGGGTCAGGCTGTATGTTTCATTTTTCAACCTGTTTTTCTTTAAACAAAAACATTCCGATATTTTCTTATCTATGAAGGTCCTTTTTTCTCTTTAGCTTAGGTCTTTGTTACATTTTATGCAAATATTAGGTTTTCTACTTTTGTTGGTTTTACGCATAAGCTGCAGTAGGCATCCTTAGATGTTTCCTCGCATACAGATGTGTTTATTTCTTTAAGCAAACAGTAGTTAGAGAGCTTCTGAGTTGTAAGATTTGTGCATTTTTAAGCTTTGTCCTACATATGTTATGCTTAGATGAAATGTTGCTGAGGTCCAAACACTACAGGATGTTTTCCAACACAATTTTTTTTTTTTTAATGTATTTGGTACAGGGTCTCACTACGCAGCTCGGACTTGTAGTGATCCTCCTGTTTTCAGCCCCCCCAGCTCTGGGAGTACAGGCATGTACCACTACGCCCAGTCTCCGTCGCCGGCTCATTGGGCCAGCTTGGCATGTGGTGCTGGGGATCCAACCCCGGTCCCTGCGCTTGCCTAAGCAGGTGCTTAGTCCGCTGAGCTATCTCACCGACCCTAAACCCAAAAATCTTCAAGCTTACAGTTCTGAGAGAAGCAGCCATTTAAACCAGGCTTTCACAAATTTTTATGTAAAAATTGATATCGTATTCCCTTATAATTCATTTTTTTTTCTTTTTTCTTTTTTTAGTATTTTTAGTACAGGGTCTCACTACACAGATTGGACCTGTAGTGCTCTGCCTGTTTTCAACCTCCCAAGAGCTAGGATTACAGGCGTGTGCCACCATCCCCAGCCTTAGTCGCTGTCTCAGCGTGCCTTGGGGGTGGGGCCGGCACAGCACACCGGGAATCGAACCCTGGTCTCTGCACCTGCCTACACAAGTGCTCATTTTGTTTTCCCTCGTCAAATTTTCTTAAATGATAAAAATTTTATGATCAGGATCAAGGATAGAGCTCCGCAGTGCAGTGCCTGCCTTGCAAGCGCAAGGTCCTGAGCTTGACTCGAAAAAGCCAAAAAGTTTATGATCATTTTAATAGGTGCCAAATAACCACCTCATAATAATAAATTCTGAAAAGGGGAAGCAACTTTTAGCAAAATACAAAGGCATTTTGTTAGTATTTGTTTTAAAAATAAATTATACAACCTTAAATATTTTTCCTTTAAAATAGTGAGCAAATACCATTTGCCCTTATTGTTTGACATTTCATGTTTTGGCAAATGTCCTCCAACTAAAGAAAGAGCTAAAGGAAAAAAGAAACAATTGTGTGTCTATGAAATCTGAAAGAATAAAACTAAAAACAAAATTAAAATCTTGAATACTACGGTAAGGTGGCTGGTTACATAATTAAGTTAAAGATAAAAAT